TGGAGGAGGCACTGCCCTCCTTCAGCCCTGTTGCCGGCACCCCTCAGCTGGGAAGAAGCACTGTTTCCCCAGCTTCCTTCGCCAAGTTCGGCCACTTCCCACCCGATGCCTTTTACCGACACACAGCACCGACACCAAAAGCCCTTTTCTGTGCTAGAGTCTGAAAGAGGGAGCTGCCTGGAGGCTGGGTCTCTTATCCGCTAGTGTGCTTTCTCCGGGTTCAGGAGGTAAAGTGGGTGCAGGATTCGGCATCTCCCCTCTATTTCTGTCACACGAGTGTGACAAAGGGCACGGCGTGGCTGTGACAAGTTCAGCCAGACAACGGACCACATCTCTCCTCCACCTCCGACGTGCCGTCTCCTCCCCCATGGCTTCCCAAGGTCTGTGCCTGGAAAATGCTACGCCCTCTGGGTGTGGAGAGCTTTGTCCCTCAGACATCCTCTGCAGTTCCTGCAGGAGAAGGAAGGCGCCTTTCTGACCAGCCGCAGGAAGTGACTTCTAGCCCTCTCCACGGGACACTCCCAGGTGGGGCGGGAGAGAACAAAACGTGGACAGGAAGTGTCAAGGCATCTGAGGACTCAAGCAGCTTTTGATTTTTCCCTAGGCGGGGGAGCAGGTGGGCACGCAGAGGACCCCAAGCACATGTAAATGGGAAGCGTGCCCTTTATTCTAGGAAGCTGTGTCTAGGAGTGGGTCAAACACAGGATGAATGGCCGAGACAGGCTGGCTTCTGCCGTGTTTTGGCTCCATCTTTAACAAGGTAGAATAGTTTGCCTTTTGGAAGCCCAGGGCTTTATTTACCAATAGGAAGGAATTTTCGAGATGCCATTTGAATATTTTCAGTGACAGCTGGGAGACGAGGTCCCCTTAGAAATAGTATTATAAAGGAATTTCACCAAAGAAAGCATTACTCATGACAGTCAAGAGAGGCTAGACTTGCAGAAAATGCTACCCTGGAATACTTCCCCAATGGGAAGGGTGGGTCACGTCTCCATTCGCCAGGTCCCAAGACAGGAGACACAAAAACACCCAATCTGCTATTTGTGGACCCAACATGAAAGGTCTCTACATGGGATCACAGCCCCCGGGAAACTTCAGAGTCACTACAGGACTCTGTGTGGGCCGACTGGAAGGGTCCTGGCTGCTGCTTAGAGAATCACGTAGGCTAGCATATAGGGATTTCTTTGTGCCCACCAGTAATCGGGGTGGCCAGGAAGAAGAATCTGCTGGTGGGCGGGAGGGGACAACATGAGACCAGGTAGATCTAACTAACGGCTCCCAGCAGGACTCCCATGCCCTATCACTGAGCATGATAATCCTTAGTAGTAACACAAGGTCCCACTGGAGCCAAAGTGTAGACAGACAGGTGGAGCCCTTCCCAGCTGGGACTCTTACCCATGTACATGAACTAGACCCCGATCTTAAGGTGGAAAGAAACACCACGGGCTGCATGCACGTCAATGCAGTAACATGTTCTGATAAAGCACATTTTACGGTACAGTATTGTGTGTTCCTTATGAGAGAAACACAGCTCAAATCTCTGCAATCCTCCACATGCAAAGGCTGGAGTCAGAATCATGCGTGCCCTTTCCTCTAATTTTGCAGCCATGGAAAAAAACACAGGACAGAACTCTGCGGGGCAGAATGCATATTTACACGCTACTGTTGGGTCTTAGTTCACCTTGACCACCTTAGGAAGGAAAGTTTTTTATGTCCTCCAAGTTGTACAGGTAACTCCTCTGCCTTATAGCCTAACAACCTCATGGCAGATGTTCTAGGGTAGATTCTGGCAGAGACAGGCATTACGAGAAAGTCTAAGCTGCAACTAAGCAGGTAAATGGAAGGCCTTCTCTTTCTAGCACCAGATCCCAGCTCACGTCATGCTAATCACTGAAAGTGAAAACCACCTTCCTCCCCAATCTGCTTTATAATCCCGAGGGCAGGCTTGTCTGGATGCCAGTCACTCCACGGGGCTAGGCTTTGCTCTGATGTGCTAAACACTGAGAACTCGGTCCTTCAAGATTTGGCAAAGTGTAGGGGAGGAAGGGGAAACATCTGAAGTTATTTTTACTTGTGCAGGTCTTTGGGCTGTACAGGGTGAATGGTGGGGGGATCAAGTATTGTCTGGAGCCCTTCAGGGTCTTTTTTTTTTTTTTTTGCATGGCCTCATTTCCGTCTTCCTGTTGCTAGGAAGGAGGGGGAAGCATGGGAAGCTGTGTTTACAATACGGGACCATCCTGTCCAGCACAAGGCTCTCTTCAAAAGAGCCCCATTCCCTTCGCCCTTCCGACTCACTGTACTTTAGCTGGCCCCATCCTTCGGCACCAAATTACCCTTCCGCAAGTATTTTCAAACTGCGTATTTACCCGCCTGAGGCATAAAAATACCACTCGCACTTAAACATTGCATCATGGCTTAAAATCCCCACGGGACACTAAGGAAACCCAAGTACTTCATTCACATTTGAAACCACCTCTGGTAATCCCACCAAGCCCTGCTTGGAAGGCACCTCCCTGGGGCCTCCATATCCCCCGGTCAGTGCCATACGAGTTCTACGAAGGGAGTTAAGCGGCATGTCCATTTCAAATCTCGCTTCGCAGTAATAACGTGCTTAATCATAACACATCTTTCTATCCATCTGGCCTATCAGTCCAGAGGCAAACACCTCTCCTAATGTAAAAATGCTCTCACACTTGGCTTGCTCTTTGCTCTTTGAACAATGACACCAAATAAACACAGGCTTTTAGGCTGAAGGGCAAGCAGCCCTCACCTTTGCCCGGGAACCACAAACCCCCCTCAGATTGGTCCAGTGCATTCAGTCCTGAAACAGCCTTCCACTGGCGACCGCGTGGCTCCACTGCTTCCTCTGTCCGCTGGGAGGCGCGACTGGCATTTCTCCTACGGTTCGGCATCGGAATCACCTCCCTGGTCCACTCTAGTTGCAGGCTACGTATCCAATTCTGCGGAGTTGAGAAAGCAAGCCAGTCTTTCTTGAGTTTCCAGCCTGTTCGGTATATGGTGTCACTGAGCGAGGATTAAAATAAAGCTAGTTTGTGTTAAAGCCGAGTTTTATACACGGCCGCGGAAGTGAGTCTGTGTGCTTCATCTGATACTGAACGGAAGTGCTGCCGAGAAAGGCAGGGTTCAAGCTTGGCCATGACGTGAACCAGGCAGGCCACAGTAAAAAAAAACAATACAATCGCCAATTTCTCACAGTGTTTCCAAAGAACTTCTGAAGGTTCATCTGCTAGCCGTTCTGCATGTGTTCCCAGGATTCCCTTCGGAAAGGAGGAAGGCAGGCTGGCCATCTGTCGCAGGCTGCGGCGAGGCTGGCGCTGGGCACCTAAACTCCGCACACTCTGGTCTGCAAATCCTCTCTGGAGGACAGGCCCACAGCCCAGATGGACAGAGCTGAGCTGCAGGCCTCTCCAGTGGCTGATAGATTTACATTCAGGGCCGTGCAGTCTGCTGGGCTATTATTTTCACTCATCCTTCCAGCAAACAGAATTTTGGAGGGAAAAAAACTGTAATTTGAGACTCAGCATCTGTCTTCCCAGGAGCTGCGACTTCAGCCCTACCCGATGTACCACACACGCCCCCCTCAGGAACCGCTTCCTAACTGACAGCGCAGGCCAGGCTCCCTGTCCTGCTTCCAAAACCACTTCACCGTGACCCTGCGGACGCAGGCCACTGCTAACCCCTCAAACAGGGCTGGGACTAGAAGAGGGCAGGCAGGACCTTCTTCAGCTCTACGGCGCAGACTAATGGTTCCAGGCAGGGGTTCCCGCCACCATGAGCCAGGTGTCCACCCAACGTCACTTAAGCAATTCTCCGGTATTAGCTCCCTGGACCCTCACGACCACCCCACGTGGGGACAGTCTGGTCCCACGCTGCACATGGAGAAGGAACAGCGAGGTGAGGTCTCATCACCCCCAGATTCGCGGCGCTGAAGCTGCAGACCCCCCAACTACGACCCAGCAGCCCGGCGCTGTGCGCTCTCAGGGCCCTGGTTCCGGAGGACGCGCAGACGCTGGCTTACACGTGCCTCCGGGCTGCTGCGCCCAGGCCGGATGCGCCTCGCTGCAGAGTGCAAGGCTGGGTCCACGGTGCCAGAGGTGGGGACAGGGCACACGGCCGGGGAGGGACCCCGGAGGCTGCCGCCCAGGCCGGGGAAAAGTCGGGCGTTGGCGGTCTAGCGTTCCCCGACCGGGACTCGCCCCGCGGGCTCCGAGGGCCAGGGCGTGGGCTGCTCCTGACCCCTAGGGGCTGGAGGCCATGGCCAGCACCGGAGCGCAACCGCTGCCCTCCTGGCGGGAGCCCCGCTGCGCCAGCTAGGGCTGCTAAGACCTCCACAGCTGCACGGGGACGGCCACCCGGCCAGGTCTGGACGCTTCCCGGCGCTGAGACACTGGACAAAACGATTTGCCATTACAGCCATTTCTCGGTGTAGTGTTTCTTTCTTTCTTTCTTTTCTTTCTTTTTCTTTTTTTAAATTCCCAAGTGCCAGGAGAGTCTAAAACGTCTCCAAATACCATATTCTCAAGAGTTAACGCTGATTTTGGATTAGTATGGTTAAAGACGGCAAGCGCCCAGTCCGGATGGTCCTCCAAATAAAGACAACCAAAACGGTGGCGACTACGTGACCCCAAGCCCCGGGGGGTGCCGAGCCGGAGGAGCTGCACCGCCGCCTGCCGGTCCTGCGCCCCCACCCCGCGCCACCGCCCCAGCCCAGCGCCCCCGCTGGCGCCCCGAGCCCCAAGCCCCAGCCTGGTCGGAGGGACCCAGGGCCGCCCGACCGCGGTCCCTAGGCAAGGAGTGGCCAAACGGCCGTGATCCGAAATTCCAACCTCCCTCGCAAACTCTGGCCCGGTGTGCTCACACTCCGCCTCCCAAAGGGCGTCTCAAAAGCCCAGAGCCACAGGCACGACTTGACAAGGCGGAGTGACACGTCCCCGCGACCAGCGTCCGGGCGGCCCGACGGCGAGGCGCGCTCTACTTACGCGTTAGGATCATGGTGTCCGGCTTTTCTCTGCACATCCAGCCCAGCGCAGGGCGGCCGGCGCGCGCAGGGAGGTCGAGGCAGCCCGAGGCCGCGGGGCTCCGGCGACCCGACCCACGGCGGGAGGCGGCGGCCGCGCCCCGGCAG